AGGGAAAGAAGTGAGGTTTTGCTTTCATGTCATGTCTCACTTCTCCTGAACGTGCTGTAAGAGGTGAAACAGATCCTCAAGTGTACCAATGGAAGAGACAGGTACGTTTCTTTGTCTGTTTAAAAGAATACCATTCCACAGCATGAAAGCACAGCCAGGGTAACCAGCACTGCTTTGCAGCTCAGTAAATGTGGAGGTACAGCTATGTACATTGCTTTGTATAATTTTTGTACTTTACTCATAAGGAATACAACTGTGACAGGCTATAAGGAGCGAGACTAAACAATGCATCAGCTTTTCATAGTTGTAAGTGCTCTGCCCTTGAACACTTGCATCATGGCAGAAAACTTCCAACACAATAAGATAATTTGCATACATCTATATAGATACATCAGTATTTATACCCACATTTTTATATATACATACACACAAGCAAAAGGAAAAGTATATGTATATTAAAACTACATTTGCTTTATTTTGAGATTTTCCCCTTGACCTGACTTGTGCTATAATAACGTAAAAACTGTCATAGGTTATTGACACTTCTTTACAGGTTTCTCTTTTTTGGAAAGTTGCTGCCAGTGACATTATATATAATAGACAGTTATTAAAATGATCGAGTTCATGTGCTCTACAGATGATGCAGAGTTGTGGAATGAGTTCCGGGGGGGTCTGTACTGGGGAAGGGGGAATCTGTGAGTGCACAGAAACCCATTCATGAGCTCTGGTGGATTACAGGGTCGAGGTCTGAGCACGGGACATTCCCCCTGTAGCCAACAGCACACGGTAGGGCTTGATACATGCCTTTTCCACATAGTCCTCACAAAGCAGAAGTCAGTGAACGTCTGTGTAGTTTTTATGACTGATTGCACAGTTGAAAGCAAGTGTGTGCAGGAGAATGCTGGAATTAAAACTAAGGAAAGAGCATTAAATTAATGTTTAGAGAAAAACAAAGCAGCTTCAGAGTCACCAGATGATGCTATAGCTTGTGTACTGTAAACAGAAATAAGGAAAGAATGTCTATATTATAAAGTCAGACTTGACTTTACCTTTGAATTAGCCACTGAAGCTGAGGTCACTCTAGTACAGAACTGTTCCAAACAAGCTATCTGGGGGGCTTGTTTTCTTCCAGCAGTGGAACACTCCCAGTGTTCATACTACGATATCTGGTTGTTTTCTACACTATCACTTCAGCTTTGCTCTAAGGTTAATGGGTTTTTGTTTGCATGTTCCACCCTGAGCTTGGGAGCGTGTGACATTGTTCAGGCAAGGATGTCCTTGTACTCCCTGTTGCACACCTCCTCCTCCTTCTCCTCCACATTCCTGACCGCCAGGCTGGCCTTTTGCATGTAGAATCACTTTGCTGTCAAGCTTAACCTGGTTTCCCCGGAGCACGGGGACATCTCAGCCTGCTGCTTTATTTTGGCCACAAGACTATGAACTGAACCTGGGGAGTAAATGATGGGGAAGCAGCAGGTTAGCCCTTCCGCGCTCAGAGGCCAGGTAGGGTGGGCCTAGGAGCAGCCTGCATTAACAAGGCGGCAGAGAATGATACTTGTACCACTGAGAACTGGGACCACTGAGTCTGCTGTGCAAATACCAAGCATTGCCAGCTCCTTCTGAAGGTGCAGAAGTGAGTTCAGGGTCTGGTCCACAAAACAGTGCTTGTCTGATATTAGTGTGGAGGGAATGGTGGGAAATACTCAGTGCATCTGCTGTTATGAAAGAGTGCAGGCAAGAGTAAATGTTACTAAAACGAATTCCTTCTATGTCTACTGATCCCCTGAAAGGTGACATTCAGAGCTGCCATGATAAGCATGAAGAGGACATCCCGAAGAGTTCCCCATTTGACTTTGTTATAAAACAGTTCAAAGGGAAGAGGTCCTCTCCTGGAAGAAGTAAAGATCAGCCTTCAGCCATCAAAAAAATCTTCAGGGGCTTTGACTTTGGGAAATCTGAAGGCAAGGACAGAAAGGAAATTGAAGAAACAGAAATAAACATAGAAATAAACAACTCTGGAGCTGATGATCAACGTGAGAAGCAAGATCCCGCTGTAGAAGGTAATGCTGGCACAATAATGAAATACGTGTGCATGTGTGTGTATTTTAACTTCATAGAAAATCAGTTGGTTTTATTGCTAGCCAAAATGCTGTATTTTGCTGCCGATAGTTTATCCTTTAGCCAGGGTTCGCTTCTGATTGGAACATTATGAGGGATAGGTGCCAAGCAAGGAGTGGAATCCACGTTGCAGAGGAGGGATAGAGCTTTTGTGTGACCTCTCTCTTGATCTCCAATGTGAGAGGTCAGTGCTGGAGTCAGCTCAGTTGCAGAACTTATTTGGTTTCAAAGCCAAGCTTTGAGCAGTAGCTTGGCTTGTTGTATCAAAGATTGGTCTCTGTCCGCCCTGCTGCTAAAACACGCTGAAGACAAGAGCAGAGGTTTCCCACCACTTGACACTGGTGAGGGGGAGGGGAAGGGAATGGAGATTCATCGTGTATGTTATTTTGAGCACCTAAGCATACTCTTTACATCCACACCAGAGAATATGAGGCTATTTTTAAAAAGGAGATGGAAGGTGAGGCTTAGAACCCCATCCTTTGTCCTAAGAGTTTTGGGTAGGTTTGGGGAAACGAGTGAGGGAACAGCTACTGTGGGCGGGATTGCTATTTTCTGTGGGTTTTGGCCGCTTTTTTTCCAGTTAGAGGCATTAGATGAAATTACTGATATGTTAAGGGGTTTAGCAATGAATGTAAATGCAATTTTCCTCGCTGTACAGACTGCATGGAAGAAGAAGGTAAGTGGGGGTTGCTTTGCCAAACAAGAACAGCAGGAACTGCCTTACACGGACAATGCACGAAAATGAGCACAGGCTGTCGTGAAGGAAGCAGCAGGTTCGCCACACAGTCGCAGGGCCGCTTGGGGCTAACTGATAAATACAGGCTGTATTGTGGCAGCATGGCTACAGGGCAGGCGCGCAGAGGTGGCTATATGACCTGGGCATCCAGAATAGCTGCAGTTCAGAATTTTGCATGAATTTCATGCCCTTGAACTGGTGGTGCAAGCATCTGAAGTCACTGGCGTAAGGTAGCATGGAGAAGTGCAGCAGTCTGCATCAGGAGCTTTGTGGTGATCTGATCCGTAGTGAACTTACCACTGACCTTACTGGTCCACATTGATCACAGATAGAGCCCACTTTACTGGCAAATTTAGTTTATGTCCAGAAGTCCGCACTTGAGAGCCACTGACAGGTTTTACACGTTGTGTTAGTAGCAGAGGTAACCAGGGCCCTATTTCTTTGTTACTCAGATGGACTTTCACATCTCATTTCTGAAGCAGAATCACCACCTGGTGAGCAGAGATTTAACCATTTCATGCAGAAACTGGGAAAGAAATCCAACAGCAAGAATCTGGATCTAAATAATTGTGCATTAAATGCAGCAGATGTAACAGAGCTGGGTAAATACATATTTTTATTCAACTAGTCACTGCGTACATTTCTTTAATTCTTATTTGCCTATTCAATTACTGACCCTCCTCTTTTCCCTTCGCTTCCCTTTCTTTTATACAGACGTGGCTTTATTTAAAATTTCATCTGGTGGTCCCAGGTCCCTGAGAATATTAATTAATAAATTATATAAATTATGTAATATATAAAAATATAAATATCATACAGGTCTGCAAAGCAGATGAATGTCCTTACACTCAAACTACAGATAAACTGAGGTACAAATTGTCATTGTCATGGCTTTATAATGCTGTATTGATTGTAGATAGCATTTCTGTATTAAGATGTGTTGACATCCAGTGTGTGCAGATAACATGCAAACGGCATATGCTTTTTCTTTTCTTTATTTTTACAGCTTCTTTACTGCCATTTCTGCCACAGCTGGAAGTGATCAGCCTGTCCTGGAATGGTTGTGTTGGTGGGACTTTGAAAGCTCTCACTGTTCATCTTCATCATGTGAACCTGTTAAAAGTCCTTCGACTTAGCAACTGCAGGCTGACAGCTGAGGATGTCACCTCCTTAGGTACAGGATTTCATTTACATTTACTTCCAGACAGCTTGGGTCTAATGTAATCCTTCTCATCTCTTCCTACATCCTACTCCTGCTGCTTCCACACTGGGCAATGTAAACTCCTGCTGTGAAACAGTAGAAAGAACTTGGGCTTACAAGTGACCTTACACATCGGAGTAGCTCTGAGTGACCTTATACATTGGAGTAGCTCCACCGAGTTCATTCTTCAGCGTATGAAGCTTTCACATTCAGAAGGGAGCAGAATTCAGTCCTATCTGCAGGGAAGCATGTTTTCAATTTGGATTAGGTTTTTTTTTGCTAGCTTTGATATCTAATGGTAGACAGAAGAAATGAAACAGAGTCAGTTGTAATAGGGTCAGCTTAGGTCTTCATGCTGCAGGACAGATGAGTCCTCATCAGAAAAAAATGATGGTCTTTTGGAGGACACTTAAAACCAGAAGCGCTGCCTCGGAGCTTTATGACTTGATTTTGCAAGTCTGGGAGAATCTTATTCCTCTGCTTCTTTGCTTTGAGTGCCTGCAACCCTGCTTTCTGCAAAGTGTGAGATTTAAATGTTTTAAAGGCGGTGTTAGGCACTCAGGTTCTGACGCTGAGTCACTTACCTCTGGGCCTGGAGTTTACTCTTGGGTCGGTCTGTGATAGATATCTAAAAGGAGGGCAAACTCAATCAGCTAGGAATTCTAAAAACTACTGCTTGTTTTGCAAGTTCTAAAAACTGGTCTGAGCTATAAAGCTGGATTTTATGTCATTCGTATCCCAGCTTTTTCCAGGAAAAGTTCAGAAATAAAATGACATATATGGTGGTAGCTCAAAAGTGGGTCATGCTATCTGCTGGGGAGGAGAAAAAGTATCTCTGCAAAAGCTGGTGAAAATAATCAGTCTGTTTCTGGTGAAGATAAAATCTGTGTTTCATTTTTTGTCAGATTTTTTCAAATTTATTTATTTTTCAAAGCCATTCCTCATACTTTTTTTTTTTGTCTTGAGTTTTATTGATTATGTTTCCAATTGATTTATTCTGCCTGGTTCTTCTGTGCTGTTTCCTTCCTGTTTCTGACTTGGCCTCTGCTGAGACAGACACGGAACCGATCATAGAACTTGAATTTCCAGTCAAAATGTGATGCCCTTGACACATGGAATAGCAACAGCCAGTTGGCACTGATTTTGCCTGCGATTTTGAAAACAGCATGCGTATTCAGGCTGGTGCTGGCTGTTTGACTATGTCCACTATATCTCTCTGTGGAAATGTGGCCACCGGATTTTGCAGTGGGATGTTAATATTACAAAGAAGCGCTAACACAGTTCACGTTGGCGAGTGTGTCAAGCCTGGAAAAGGCTCATTTTTCTGAATGTAATCAAAATCAGTGCTCTCTGCCTTGAATCATGGGAAAGTTAGTTTGGGTCAAAACAATGCTCATCTTGATTCCTTATGAAGTGAGTCAGAAACTCCTGTCAGAAATGAAACTTGTAAGTATCAGAAATAGCTGTGAGAGGACTTCTTTCATCCCCTCCAAAACGACCTGTGGACACGGTACAGAGGAAGCTGGAAGTCTGCCAGATAAAACAGAGCAGAACTACACAGGACAGTAAATTCAGACTTGTCACTTGTATTGATTTCCCTGTATACTAGACTTTCTGGGTCCTGGCACAGGTCTACAATCATGGCCAAACAGTCTGATGAGGATTTGGGAACCGGAATAAATTCCAGGTCTGTGTGCTGTGACAATGACTTCTGATCTATATTGCTCCTTATACAAGGTGAGAATTTATACAACATTGCTGCAGTAGCAACAATTCATGGCATACACCAATTTTCCTGGCAAGCCATTAAAAATATAATAATTTGAGAATTAAGTGGCTAACCTTCCTCTTTAATATATTCCAAACCTGTATTTTTGTCTTGCACTGAAATTGATACCTAGAATGAATCACCTTAGATTTCTGTTACAGGGGAGGCATTTGACATTGTTCCTCAGCTTGAAGAATTGGATTTATCATGGAACAGTAACATAGGTGGAAAACTATCACTCCTGACAAAGAAACTTCAGAAAGGATGCAAGTTAAAACTTCTGAAAATTACAGACTGTAACTTGACGGCAAAGGATGGAGAATCCCTTGGTATGTGTATCCATCCAGCTGGACTGAGACTGGCTTCACAACAGTGTATCTTGTTTGACTTAGAGTATGGCTGTATTGAGCTCAATATTAGTGGAAAGTTAATTTATTTCAGGCTGTGCATTATAACAGTATTTACCACACTGTATTGGGATTTAATGCACTTTCTTCCAAAGACAAAAGCTGTTCTCTCTAATCATGTAGGGTAGGGCTGAGAAGAATAGTTGGATCTAAACCACATCTGGCTGCCTCAGTGGTCCAGGATTGCTGGATGATCCTGTGAGACCCTGAGCAAGTCTCATGCCAGAACTTCCGACATGGATGTCTTAAAATTAAGCAGCTGAATCTGTAATTAGGCATGGGATGGGAAAGAAGGCCTGAAGGATGGGAATTTAGGCTGAGTTGGCAACCACTGAGCACCCCTCCCCTCTTTCCTCTCACCGTAGCTTAATCCTGTGTCATCTTTTGATCTGTGTTTTAAAAGATATTTCCCCCCTAATGACAAGCCCCTGTGCTCTCATCTCCACTTCAGGAGATGGCCTGTATGCAACATACAGTCGTATATATTTTCATTAGAAATTTTTCTTTCTCTTTGTATTCCTGCTTTTTATTCCACTGTGTTTTGATTAGTCGTATTTTTCACCTTTATTTTCATACAGATTTTTCACTGATTTTCTGGATTCCTGTGTAATCTGTTTTGCTGTATTTTTTAGGTGGAACAGGAACTTAGTAAGTCTAAACCACACATATAGGCAAACCCAGCCTACCTCTTCCTGTTTGTCATGATGCTATACTTTTCTAGAGTTCATCTCATCAGACAATTACCAGTTCTGTTTTTCTTTTTGTTTTTTTTTCCCCAGCTGAAATTCTAAATGTGATCCCAAACCTTGAAGTATTAGATCTCTCTATCAACAAACATATCGGCTGCAGCATGAAGGTTATCGCTCAGGATCTGAAAAATGTGCCAGGCTTGAAAGAGTTAAACTTGCACATGTGTGGGTTAAAGCAAGACAGCCTCCAGGGCTTAGGTTAGACTTTATGTTCAGAAAGACTTTCATGCTGAATAAACTGTACATCTGAAAACCATTTAAGAAAGGCAATGAGGTGGGATTTTGCTGATGGCTTGGCGGTATTAATGGGCAATCGTTATTTGCTGTTGGATGATTGATAAATGACTACAGAGACTTTCAGCAGTTTTAAGCATGTGAAAGTCAGTGGGGAGACTCACCCTCCACACCATTTATCCGAGACACATCTTAGGGTAGATTAACGGCTCTCTGGACATCCTTCCCCTCTCCCCAGACAGAGCATAGACAAGGGCACAGACAGGCTAGCTAACTTTTAGCAAGCTAATCCTACTCTCAGAGAGGAATCCAAATTCACCATTATCACTTAATGATAATTAAGTCCAGTGATATGATAATAGTGTCCAGTGAAGCCATATCAAATGGGCTTACTATCTGTGTCTGTCCCTAGTGGAGATCTTATCTATAAGACAAAACAACTGGCACTAATTAGCACATTCAGTAGTAATTTCAGCAAAAGGCTGAGGACTGAATGGATCTGGGGGATGAGCTGGCCTCACCTTCACCTGCTCTTTCAGAGAAGAATGGAGTTGCATGGATGGGAGGCTTTGCAGTATTACTGTGTGTCTGCTGTGATTATACACTGAAGCTTAGTCTAAGAGCTTTGCCTGCAATACCTTGTGGAAACTTTGACGTTAAAGTAAATAAATGCGAAAGCCGTGACCTGCGTTATTGTAGCAGCCGGTGACCAGCATGCTCCCTTCTCCATTTCAGATACTGCTTTACAGCATCTTGCCGAGCTAAGAAAATTAGACATATCATGTAACAAAGAGATTGGTGGTGGCTTTAAAGACTCGACAGCTCATTTGGCCAGCTTGAAAAATCTCGAAGTCCTTGATCTCCACCAGTGCTGCATAACAGAAGCGGACATGACCATTTTGTGTAAGGACATGTTGGGGAAATCCATTAAGAATGTAGGTTTTGACTTCTGAAAATATCTCCAAGGCATAAGAGGTTCTGCCTGACCTAGTCTAGCAGTTCTCAGTACATCTTCATTAGGCAGTTCGGGAAGTGCAGCATGGAGGATAGCTTTCTTCATCAGTATGGAATGTGTTTTTGCTGTATCAAAGCAAATCTCGTAGTGCCTGATCCCATGTGGAACTAAGGACCTGAATCTGCCATGATTCAGATCCATGATGGGAGTGTAGGCACTGCTACGAAGCACTGCTTTTTTTGATAATCAGTGATTTTGGAAATATCCAGGGACAGTTCCCCTGCTGGTATAAAGTGGCACGGATCCAAGGTGCGTACGTGCGTGAAAGTGTAAGTACCTAAAACTCCCTTGGAGAACTTTACGTCAAGTACAGAGTCATGTTAGGTGATCTCACATTGCTGCTGCTGTGTGCTTTATAGAAAAGCTGAAGACTACAGTCTCCAGGTTGAATTGATCCAACTCGTAAATACTATCAGGAAGACATTCCCCATTGAATCAGTGAGACAGTTTTATTTTCCTGTGTGCAGTATCATAATTTTTTGACATTGGTTCTTATTCTTTAGCACAATAACAACAACAATCCCATGACTCAAAGCCTATATTGCCCACATCTTGTTTTCCAGGATAAAGAAGATAATTTGAAAAGCTGCTGCTGAAGCATTAGGAAGTATTAACTATTAGTAATAGCAGTCATGTTTTCTTTTTAATTTCTTGACCAGTAGAGAATAATAACATTAATATAAAGGAGTTTCACTTAGCAGTGAAGACATTTGGAAATAACCCCCATCTCATTTAATGTTAAATTCCCCACTTCACCTAGAAAATTCCAACAGGAAGCCATGTTCTGACAACCGTCCACACAGTATGTAATACGTAATTTCTTAAACATTCCTACTGAAAATGACAAGGCCATTTATGGTCTAAAACATTACTCACCATAAATTTGAGCGTCAAAACTTGGCCTTGACATTTGGATTGATTTATAAAGAAAATAAATGATGCCAGGCAAATATAAAACTGCATATTTGTTCTGGATCAGTGACTATCTAATAAATATTTCATGTTTTCATAGCCCAGGTGATACCTTTACTCTCCAGTCTTCAAGAGCTGAATTTATCCTCGAATAGAAATGTAGGAGTCTCATCTGATCCTCTTCTGGGCAGGCTCAGGTTTTTACCAAAGTTGAAATCTGTGTCCATCAGCAATTGTGATTTAGGCGAAGACTCGTTTTCATCACTAGGTAGGAATGTTTTTTTAAAGTGTGTCTATTCTCTGTGTGCTCTTGTGGGACAAAGCACTTCATTCTCCTTTGGCTGAACTCCAAAGATCATGGTTACATTGTACCACAGGTCCCCAGTGAAAAAGCCTGTAATGAAGCCAGTGCTTCATGGGACCTGGTTGCAAGGGAAGACCCTTGTATGTTTTCCCCCATTATACCTGACTGGATGAAGTCCTTTTATTCCTTTGTCTCCTAGTGATCTTTCAAATACTCCCTAATTTTAGAAGAGAAAACAAAGCATGATTTCATATTATGCTGTAATTATAGTTTGGCTGTAAGACTGCATTTGCAGTTTAGTGGGGAAAAGTTTTCACTGAATGTTTCTCAGCTCACTGCAGGTGAAATTTTCAATATAAACTTTCCGGGATAGAGTTAAGCATGGGGCAATGGAGGAATTGAGGCAATGACTGCAGATGGGGAAAAAATATTGCACAGCCATGAAGAAAAGTCCAGTCTGACACAGGATATGTAAATTCACCCTCTTTTGCCTACTTATGGCAAATCTCAGTGGATTAGCAGCTGCACTGTCGCTTTGATAGGTGTTCCATATGGCACATGAAATCTAAGTACAGAGGGATCTGTTAGCTGCTGTGTGTTGTGCACCTATAATATATTTTGTACTGTTCACTAGTGACATTGAAACCTGTAGCAAAACTTGATTGCCTCCAGCAGAAGCAGTAGCAAGGTAAACTGGTCTGAGGTCCCTGCAGGAAGAGTACTATATTTATATCATTGCAATTATGTAAGAGTGACATCATGGAATTCGGTGTTGTCAAAAGATACAGAGGATTTCACCTTGCATGGTGAGTTCACAGCAAAAAATTACTGTCTTTAAATTGATATCAAATGGTTTAAAAACAAGCTGTTATATTAAGTTGACTTCAGTGGGACAAGGTCAAGCCAATAATGTAAACAGAAAGACAAGAAACCCCTCCAGAGAGTCCTTACAGATTCTGTAGGCAGGCCCTTCTTATATTCTTTAAAGAGCTCAGGAGATATTTTTTGTCTGACTTTTATTAGGGTAAAATAAGTCATTCTAAGCACAAGCTGGCAGCCTGTTAGGAGGCTATTTACAGGTGAATTGCCAGTGAGGTGTCTATTGAGGCCATGTTGTTTTCTCTTAGTAAGCAGAAGTTGCTGGTCTTAATCTTTTCAGCTGAGGCTGCCCTTCACCTTCCTGAACTGGAGATATTAGACCTTTCTTGGAATAAGTGCGTTGGTGGGAACCTAAAGCTGCTTTTGGGAGCACTAAAGCTTGCAACGGAGATTCAAGTGTTAAGACTGAGCAGCTGTAACTTGGTGGCTGAAGATTTGGCACTCCTAAGTACGTATAACATGGTATTTACTAGCAGTCAAGGAGCCAGGGCATTTAGACCGCAATTCAGAAGGGACTTGTTCCATGGGCTGAGCATGTTTTTGCATGAATCAAATTAAAAGATGGAAAATACAGCAGTATTTTTCCCAGAAAGGATTTTCATTTTGCTGAAGACTGTGTGTCCTGTACATGCACAGTGCAAAAGCCGAAAAGGATAAAAATGCAAAGAATCTTTTAGCAGTTTTATCTAGTAATACAAAAAGGGTGCACTTAGAAAATGTAAGTTTTGCATCTGTTTTTTATATCAGATATTTAAAGCCGCCTCCGAGGAGTTTTATTTTGCTTGGCTGCTGGTTTTGGGTTCAGTAATTTATGGGAAATGTACGTGCTGACAGCCAGTAATACAGGCACTGCCAACTCTCAGTCCGTTAGGTGTGTTTCTGGAGTCAAACTGCTATGGGAGAATTAAAACAGAAATATTTTAGCTCACCTCTTAGCAGCTGCTGAGAAATACTGGAAAATGGGAACCCAATGAAGGAACAAATTCTAGGATCCTTTTAAAAACCTGTTTATTTTATAACTGTCCTTGTGATTTTGTGGGCCTGACACATGGGTTTTGAGTGTCTGAGACTGGCAGTAGCTGTGTGGCAGCTGTTCAGACCCTGTAATCTGAAGGCTGGTGAGATGAAGCCTAAATATTTTTGACTTTACAGCATCACCCTTGATGGGTGTCTCCTTTGCCAATAGTACATTAAGGATCCCAGTTCCCTTTAGGGTATATAAGGCCCATTACCCTCCCACAGTGGGAGGTGGCTGTTGTAATCATGCAACCTCATGTAGTTTTGCTTTCCTCTTTCTAAATCTCCCTGTAAAGCCTGACTGCCTGTTTTAATTGGCACTTGATACAACGTCCTTCCAAATGACTCAAAGGTTTTCAGGTTGCCAATACTTCTGTTCCCTTCAAATTGCTCCTGTTTTAAATGTTGTACACTCCTTCAGCTGTGACAAAACAGTCTTTCTGAGATCAACAGCAGGTGGTTTCATGTTGCTGAGGATTTTAATCTTGCTGTTTGGCTGCTGAAAGGCCTTAAATAATATGGTATTATTTAAAAAGCTTTTAAAGCAATTGCCAGGATGTATGAGTTGTGTTTGTGTCTGTCATTTCTTGCAGCATTACTGACGCAGGACAGCCATCTAGCCAGATTACGGAAGCTGGATTTGAGTTATAATAACAACATCTCTGATGAAGGGTGGGTCGTCTTCTGTCAGGGCTTAGTAGTATTCAAAGAACTCTCAGAGCTGGACGTCAGTCTTCGCCCATCGTCCTGCCGTGACTGTGGGATGTGGTTCGGTGAGTTGTTAGCAGCCCTGACAAAGCTGCCGGCCCTGGCAGAGCTGGGGATGCAAAGATGGGTACTTTCAGAATCGCAGCGAAAACAACTGGAAAGCTTTAATCAAGACAACAAAAGAAACATTCGTTTTGACTGTTGATGGAGGTTGAAGGTTTCTGGAAGGCCTTTCACAAGCAGCACATGGGCCAAGTGTTATGTATTTCTGACTTAGAAGACTGCCCAGTTTTTAGTAATCTTGTGTCTGAGAGCTCTTGAAGTAGTTCCACCATTATATAGAACTGTTATTTAACCTTCTGCATGCACAGATCATTCCATTTAATAACATACTTTTTCAGATTCTCTGGGCCATGTTTACATTGCTATATATGCTTCATCTTCATGTTGTGAATACAGCAATGCCTACTGTCAAAAGAGTAGTGATGATTTCAGATGGACACACTGCAGGTTTGCCAATGGAGGGAAGTGACTGGGGTGTGTACTAATGCGGGTGGGTGGGCAGTGTGAATGTGGCCTTGTGCATATAAGGAAAATTCCTCTGATGTGAAAATACTTGAAACCTCTATGTTTTAAATTTTTGTTTCTTCCCCCAAAAAACTTTTGCCTCTTTGTGAATTCATTAAGTCTACATAATTGTGAGATTTGGAAAGCATCCCAACAACTCAGGATTATATATTAGTCCAGTAAGAGAATACAGCATGAGCTGTTCTGCCTCTGCTCTGGCCCTTAAATGCTATCTCATAGTGTAGATGAGTCCTGTGTACAGAATCAGCATAAAATCCAGGTAAGAAACAGTTGATTGGTGTCTTTGCAGGTCTCGGGGGCAAGGGAAATGCTGTGGTAGGTTAAATCAAAGATATGTCCTACTACCTTAGCAAAGATTTCAGATGCAGAGCAATCCATAAGCATTCTGGATAAAGGTATGCGAAGATTTCAGGGTACTTCAGGGACGCTCCTTCTCATCCTGAGCTGTTTCAGCCTTACCCAGACTGCGCTTTCCGTACAGACTCTTTTATGAAATGCAGCACAAAATCAAACTTTGAGATCTAAGAGTCTCATCTACAGCGTATGAGAGCCAGAGGCAGTCCCTGCCGTGCCTTCATGTTGCCTGCATTCAGAATTAATCCATTAACCTTCACAGCACCTTGTGACATAGACAGTGGTCTTATCTTCACCCCAAAGCTGAAGGAAATAAGCAGTCTATTATTCAAAGCCACAAGGCAGCTTCTAGCTAAAAGCAGAGCACCCTGCTCTGTGCCCAAGACTTGTTAGAAAAAGCACGAACTTGGGACATGTAAGTGGCTCCTCCTTTTTTTACTTGATAATTCCTTATTTGTTATTTTATTCTATTTGCTTCCACAGAGCAAATTTCTGGCATAGTAACTCGTGTCATGGAGGATATTAGTCCACACGTGAGCTCAAAGACTGCAGTGGGATTATTCTTTGGTAAGGTATTTTAGGAAGTAAAGATATTGGATCTGCCCACTGAGTGAGGAGTCTTAGAGAAATCCTGAGGCAGCTTGAGGGATAAAGTATTGCTCAATTAGCCCTGAGTATAGCTACACACTGCAGCAGTCTCCTGGAGGAGAGGCACAACAGAATTATTCAGTGGCACTTTCCTTACTTGCTAGGACCCCTCTCAGCAAGTTCTTCCATGCAGATGCAGATCAGTATTCAGAGTATTCAGCTTTCAGTCTGGGCAACCCTTCCAACATCAGCTTCTGGCTGGTCAGGGTTCTAACCAGCAGCTGACCATGTTGTGCTGATACCTGTTGATCATTTAATCCATTATTTCATGTAAGGGTCTCTACAGACTTCCTGGTTCCAGTCTGAGTTCCACTTGAAAATTGCACTTGGCCCCACCAACTCTGAAAAATGGGATGAACTGGAGCATCTTAGTCAGAGGTAGCATGGAATTGCTGCAGTGTGGGATCAGTTATTCTCTACAGAGATCCTCAACCTCTGAAATTAAGAAAAGAGCCCGTTTTACATGGGGCTAACAAGAGAGACTTTCAAGCAGTGACTGGAGCTGGGAGAGTTATTCTAACGCGGAAGTACCATCGTCTCTGTTCAACAGCAGCACACCAACCACTTCTGTCAATCATTTGTCTTCCTGTGGCTTTCCTCCTCGGATCTGCCTTTGGTCCAACTGGCAAACTGATCCTTTATCTATTCTGTGAGAATCTCTCTGAATCACTCCTTTCCTGCTTGAACCTCTCAAATTCAGTAAAGGAGCTGGCCCACGTTTAATGTCCAGTGACTGTTGTAGTCTCGCTGACTGAACTGCACTTCAGTATTGGGGTTTCGTGCTGTGTCATGCTTGGGTTCCTCATTCTTAGCTCCAGGGCACAGTATGGACCCACTGCTAGCATCATCTATGCTTTCTGTTCATAAGTCCCTTCTCGGCCCTCTGCCCTCTTGTGGTTCTTTTGTACTTATTCTGCCAATAGAAAGCTTTTATTAAATCACTTCTATTAAATGTCTTGTCTATCTGCCAGTCTTTCCAGAAATATCTCTCTTCCAGTGATTTCCTCCTTGGTAGTCTCTGAATCACCCTAGTCTCTGTGCCTCTTTGCCTTCACTTCGGGTGACAAAAATTCCTAAGACAGTTCCAAACAATCAAACCAGCATCAGGGACCCAGTGAAATGGAAAACCAAAACCGAGCCATCCCACATTCCTGCAGTCCCAGCTCTGTCCTGCCAACAAGCATATTGGTGAGATTTCAGTATCAATCGATTCAAGAGCCAAAGGGGAATAAGATCCATATCCTGGATGCAGATGTAGCCGCAGCATTCAGAGAGCCCTACCTGGAGGTGGAGCTCTAGGAAGAGCTGGGTCTCAGTGGCCCTGCCTTCACCATCTCCTCATCTTCTCTGAGGCAGCTCAGACAGGGGGAGGGAGAGCAGGACTGCAGTTCCGACCAGTCGATTAAACTAAGTAAAGGGTTCTGCTCCCACCCACTCGCGCGTTTTGAATCTGCACGGTGGCCAGTCCCAGTCCAGCTCTGTGCTTTGTGTATGCTGCAGATAAAACTCTGGAGGGGTTTAAGGAGTAACTGAGCAGTACAGAATAAAAACTAGACAAGGACATCAGGACAAACAGCTATCTGTGAAGTGCTGTGGGAAGACACGGTTGCCTATAAATTCGGCGTGCTAGAATTATAGTAAGGAGTGTTTGTCATGGTGCTTTTGAATAACAAAGGTGGTGTGACATGCCAGGACCCAGAATCATTGCAGAATATTGCATTCAATGCTTTCAGATAAGCCTGTCGCACACAGACACTTTACAAGCTGTCACCAAGCTATCTCAGAGATGAGCTATAACACGAAAGATTTCACAGCTTGCAGTCATGCAAAATACTATAACTACAGACTGTCAAAACATCAGTGAACAGTTTTGCAGAAGTGTAGAGATACTTTCAAACCAGCCTTTTACACCCCTGTAAGACAGGATGGGAATGCAGGTTCTGGTAGAAGTGCATATGTTCTGACTGCCTGGAATCCTCCTCCGTATTTGCAAACAAGGTACTGATAATTTCTGAATATAAAACTCACTAAATAACTGCTAGTAGGTGGGGCCACAAATATTGTTTCAGTCTAGATATGGCTATACCTCACTGACTGGAAAGCAGATTTCTAAGAATTGTATGTAAAATACTTCGGGATTCAGAACAAAGTACACTTCATTGCACCAGATTCCTACAGATTAGATTAATTTCCAATTGATCAGCTGCCTTTATGCTTTGAAACATGCATTTAGAATGAGACATCTCCAGAGTATTTCAGAATCTGCCTGGTTCAGCTGGAGTCAATTTTGACAAAAACACAAAATCATCTCAAAAAATCATGTTTTCATTGTAACAATCCCTGATCCAAATGCTTCAATACTGCTTGTCTCTTACTCGCTTATCTCTGCTCACATTTGCCTTTCTTGTAAATGAAAAGAGCTCTGTGCAGTTTGCTGTCTAAATAGCACTTTTTAGCTCTTGATCCTTTTACAGGCTTCTCTTTTCACTTCCCTTTTCCTTTCTTTTCCTTCTTTCTTTTTTTTTGTTAGATTCTTAAGTGTTAAGAAAGGTCCAGTCCCCTTCTGGTTCATCAGCCCACGCCACAAACTTTGAATCTGAAAAAGAGAGAACGATCTGGTTACCTGGAGGAAAAGGGTAAAAGCAGACTGTCACATGGAACAGTGTTACTGGTGGATATTCTTGATGTAAAAAGCCAGGCACATTGTGGTCTCCAAAAAAGCCTTTTATTCTGTGTTAGACTACATTGTTTGCAGCTAAGATAGACTGCCAGCCACCTGACTTATCTTTTTCTCTGTGTGTTATTTTTTTCAATAGGATTTTCTTACCACAGAGGACACTAACACTGTAGTCCTCCAGACCCTTTGATTAGAGTAGTGAATTACTATGTCTACACATCTTAAAATGTCACTTTTTAGTTCAGAAGAACAGTTTGGGAGAAACAGAGTAGTTCATTAAGAAATTACAGACATTACAGAAAGAGAGGAATAATTTAGGTTCAGGGGAATCAAAGACTGAGGATTTGCCACCTTGCCCTGTATTTTTTCCGAGCAAATTAATTCCACTGGTTATACAGACTGGTATGGGGGGGAAAAAACCCCAAAAAACCAAAACCACACAAAAAATGTGTTTTGTTCAATGTGTTTGCACAGTGGATCTTCAGCTCTTTACAATCAAAGTACAGTCCGCAAGAGTGGAAAATGCCGCCTGCAGTTTGTTTCATCTTTAGGCGATGCCTTGACTTTGAGGATCCACCCTGTTTTTAGACACACTAACCATTGCCCTTCCATTGGACAAGCAACTAAGGAAAGCTCTGTTGCAAGTTGTAAAGGCTGTTCTATGCCTGCTGACGGTGACGTGGCGGGGCAGTGACAGCCTTCTGCAACGTTTCTGAACGATGCTTGGTGCTGTATTTCCTGCTGGTTCCCTGGATCCTGCCTTAACCTGATCAGGGACAGAAGCACTGCTCTGCCGTAGATGATGCAAATGGTGGTTTAAGATGTTTTTGATATTGCATAGAGTGCCCTGTAGGTTGCTCTGCAACGTATCTATTACTAAAAACACAGCTTTGTATGTGTATTGTGGTGGCTTTCTTAATGCCCCTACCTTTAAGTTCATGGCCTTTTTATGCCCTTTTTCCTGTAAGTGTTCCCAGATGGCAGATGTCCCCTGACAGCACACTTCAGTCAGAGGGTCTGTCATAGGGTTTCCATCCACAAGGACCAGCTCCATTTGCTGAAGGCTGTCCAGATCCTTGGGCATCTGGGACAGGTCAGTGTTCTGAATGAACAGTTTTTGCAGCCCTGAACACACAGAAGCAAACAGCTGCAGCACAAAGAATGGACGATGTGGAGCATTC